ATGGGTGTATGGTGACCTTTACTTTTCCATGTTTTCCTCACCTTTACTTTTCCATGTTTTCTGCTCCATGTTTTCTTACTTTTCCATGTTTTCCTCACCTTTACTTTTCCATGTTTTCTGCTCCATGTTTTCTGCTTGTCCTCCCTTTCTTTCGGCTTCTGTTTTCTTTTCCTTTCTTCCGCTCATTTATATGAGCTTTCATTGTACTTAGTTTTACATAATACAAAATATAGACATTCAAAATTCAATATGGTATCAGAGCAGTGACCCTAACCGGCCTGTCTCTGTGATGTTCTCTTGAGGGATTTGTGAGCTTCTTGTCCTTCAATCATGGCTGAAGAAATCTTAGTAAATTTGGAAGGAGACGGCTTTCATGCTACTCCACCATCACCACACTCAGATATTGATATCAACCCAAATCAATGTCTTAGTTCTGTCTTGCTAAATGAGTTTAACTATCTTCCATGGGAGAGAGCAGTTTCTCTTGCTCTGGGAGGACGATCAAAGCTTGGTTATGTTAATGGTGCTATTCCAATGCCTGAGACTACCTCATCGGAGTATGATGCTTGGCTATGCAAAGACCAGTTGGTCATGTCGTGGCTACTCAATTCCATGGATCGTAAGATTGCAGAAATTTTTAGCTATGCTGAATCCTCCATGACTCTTTGGAAAAATCTCAAGGAAATGTATGGAAATCAGAAACAATGCGGCTAGAGTGTTTCAGTTAAAGAAGGACATTGCTGGTTTGCAACAGGAAGGAAAGCCATTTGTGCAACATCTTGGAAAGCTGACCACTATGTGGAACGAGCTGAATGTGTATCGACCACACACCATCGACGCTGCTGTGCTAACTAAAAGAGCCGAGGAAGACAAAATATTCCAACTCCTAGCAAGTCTGAGTCCTGAATTCGAAGATCTTCGAAGTCATATCCTCATGAATCCCGACCTGCCTTCTTTTTCAAGTGTGTGTGCCACAATTCAAAGAGAAGAGGTTCGAAGGAAAGTCATGACCATGGACATGAAGGCAAATATACCAGAAGCTAGGGCTTACTTCTCTAACCAAAAACTTGGTGAGGAGAGAGGCTACAAAGGAAAGAAAACTGGCTTAAAATGTAGCCATTGTGATGCTGGTGGGCACTCAAGAGATCGATGCTGGATTCTTCATCCAGAGTTAAAACCAAAGTTTCCTAGGGATAACAAAGGTGTCTCGAAAGGCTCGTACAACCCTTCTTACAAGGCAAATCATGTTGCCACAACTTCTTCTGATGGAGCACTGAAGTTCACCACTAATCCAGCTGCACTGATCAACGAGTTTGCTATGTTTCTTCACAAGAAACAAGGTCTTGGAGATAGTGAAGGACCACTAAATCAGTGTGACAACAATCAAACTGCTACTAGGACAGTTTGCTGGCTTCCTGGCTGGAAATGAAGGCGTGGTACAAAGGGACATCCCAGGTATCTTACACTCCTTCTCAACTGCTCTCAACATTGGTAATGTGCATGATTATTGGATTATAGATTCTGGAGCCACTGATCATATGACTAACAAGTCTACAAACTTGCATAAATTTGAAAATTTTTCTATTCCATCCCAAGTGTCAGTTGTCAATGGAAAAAATGCTATGGTTGTGGGAAAAGGAAAAAAAAATACATTTGATCTCAAGTGATGTCGAGTCTGAGGCTCTTTATGTTTCCCTCATTCCCTTTTCAACTTTTATCTGTTAGCAAGATCACAAACTCATTAAATTGTCTTGCCATTTTCTCTCCCAAAAATGTGATCTTTCAGGATGTAGTCACCAAGAAGATGATTGGTGAAGGATTTTTCTTAAATGGTCTCTACTATCTTTCCAAGCATATTCAAGTTCCCAAGGTTTTTCAAGTCACTTCAAGCTTAGCTCAAGAACAACAACTTTGGCACCAACGCCTAGCACATCCTTCTGAAAAAGTTCTATCCACCTTGTTCCCAAATATGTGCAAAGTTACAAGTCCTTGTGATGTTTGTCATTTTTCTAAGTTTACTAGATTACCATTTACTTCCTCTTTGTCTAGGGCTAGTAACCCTTTTGAAATTGTGCATTCTGATGTTTGGGGACCAACTATAGAGTCTTTTGATGGATACAAATATTTTGTAACTTTTGTGGATGATTTCACAAGGATTACTTGGTTGTATCTTTTGAAATTTAAAAGTGAAGTGATGGAAGTTTTTCAAGATTTTCATAGACTTGTGGCCACCCAATTTGCTTCAAAAATTCATATTTTACGATCAGATAACGGCACAGAATATATGTCTCATAACATGTCACACTACTTGAGCACGCATGGTATATTACACCAAACAAGCTGTGTTGGAACACCTCAACAAAATGGGGTGGTCGAGAGGAAGAATAGAGATCTACTTGAGAAGACTAGAGCTCTTATGTTTCACATGAATGTGCCTAAAAAGTTTTGGTCTCAAGGAGTTCTTACTGCGGCATATCTCATCAATAGATTGCCTAGTAAAGTGTTGAATTTTAAATCACCTTATGAGGTCTTGAAAAATAGAAAGATCAACTTTTCCCATTTGAGAGTCTTTGGGTGTACATGCTTTGTTCACATTCAAACTCAAAATCGTGACAAGCTAGACCCAAGGGCTGCCAAATGTGTCTTTCTAGGTTATTCATCTACCCAAAAAGGTTACAAGTGCTATAATTCAACAACTAGAAAAATAGTTGTTTCAAGGGATGTTAAATTTGAAGAACATGTTCCTTACTTCTCACAATCACTGGATTACTCTAGACAGGGGGGAGCATTTTGAGCATTTGATGGACTTATTTCCTTTTCCATATCCAAACGGAGAAGATGCAACATGCACTCCTAGTGATCATGTGCCGGATGATGTTAACCTTCACTCGGTGGAACATCTTGAAGATGAAAACCCTTCCTCATCAGAGATTCACACTGCACCCTCCAGTGATCCTTCCAACCATGATGTTGTTCAAATACCTGTAGTTCAATCTCCTACAGTTCGTCGCAATCCTGCACGAGAGAGGAAACTTCCATCCAAGTTGCATGATTATGTGACCTACACTGCCAGGTATCCCGTGACTGATGTTATTGATTATAGCAAAGTCTCATCTTCTTTTGCTACATTCCTAAGTGCCATTAATGAAGCTCGAGAACCTCAAAGTTTTCAAGAAGCCAATCTTCACAGTGAGTGGAGAAATGCTATGCTATGGCAGAGGAGCTTCAAGCCCTCCATGAAAATAACACATGGACTATAGTGAAACTTCCAAAAGGAAAGAAGGCAGTGGGGAGTCGTTGGGTGTACAAAACTAAGTTTCATTCAGATGGCACAATCGAAAGGAATAAGGCTCGCTTGGTTGCTCGAGGTTTTACACAAACCTATGGCGTCGATTATAAAGAGACATTTGCTCTGGTGGCAAAAATGAACACTGTTAGAGTATTGTTGTCGGTTGCAATTAACAATGCATGGCCTCTCTTTCAAATGGATGTTAAAAATACTTTCCTGCATGGTGAACTTGAAGAAGAGGTTTACATGAAGCTACCCCCAGGTCATCCTCAATCAAACAATCCAGAAATGGTGTGCAAACTCCATAAATCCATTTATGGTCTCAAGCAAAGTCCACGTGCATGGTATGCCAAGCTCAGTCATGTTCTGGAAAGGGTTGGTTTTTGTCGAAGTATTGCGGATTCTTCCCTATTTGTTCGTTCCAGCTTAGTGGGTAAACTAGTTGTGCTCATTTATGTTGATGATCTAATTATGACAGGTGATAATATGTCAGAGATTAATGCTCTTAAACAGTATCTCAACAACAAGTTTGTTATCAAGGATCTTGGCACTCTCAAATACTTTCTGGGCATCGAGATGGCACACTCTCACAAGGGTTTCTTCCTCAACCAACGCAAGTATGTCATGGATCTTCTTCACGAAGCAAAAAATGACAGATTGCAAGCCTGCTCGTACCCCCTTGGATAGCAACTTGAAGCTAAAAACTCACGGTGATCCAGTTCCCAATTTAAGTTACTATCAAAGAATGGTTGGCAAACTCATTTATCTGACTATCACACGTCCTGATATATCATATGCTGTCAGCATTGTTAGCCAGTTTATGCACTCTCCAAGCATGGATCATTTGAAGATTGTTCATCGTGTGCTACGTTATCTTAAGGGTTCCATTGGTAGAGGAATTCTTTATGCGCAACAATAGTCACACTCAGATCTCAGGCTATACCGATGCTGACTGGGCAGGCAATTCTCTCGATCGATCGCAAGTCTACCACTGGGTTTTGTACGTTTGTGGGAGGCAACCTAGTTACCTGGAAAAGCAAGAAACAAAGTGTTGTTGCACGCTCTAGTGCAGAGGCAGAGTATCGTGCTATGGCGTCCACTGCTTGTGAACTTATTTGGCTCAAAAGCCTTCTGTTGACTTTAGGTTTTCCTCATCAACAACTCATGTCCCTACACTGTGATAATCAGGCCGCGATGCACATTGCATCGAATCCTGTATTCCATGAGCGAACTAAACATATTGAAGTTGATTGTCACTACGTCAGAAATCAAGTTCAGTCCAAGGTGATCGACACTCACTACACGCGCAGTCATGATCAACTTGCGGATATTTTCACAAAAGGATTACCCTCTGCTGATTTTCAACGTCTTTTGTTCAAGCTTGGATCAATTAATCCCTTTGATCCAGCTTGAGGGGGAGTATTGGAAGAAAGCATGGGTGTATGGTGACCTTTACTTTTCCATGTTTTCCTCACCTTTACTTTTCCATGTTTTCTGCTCCATGTTTTCTTACTTTTCCATGTTTTCCTCACCTTTACTTTTCCATGTTTTCTGCTCCATGTTTTCTGCTTGTCCTCCCTTTCTTTCGGCTTCTGTTTTCTTTTCCTTTCTTCCGCTCATTTATATGAGCTTTCATTATATATGAGCTTTCATTGTACTTAGTTTTACATAATACAAAATATAGACATTCAAAATTCAATAAAGTGGGTACCCAAAACTGCATTTTATTTGGAGAAATTTAAGTTTTGTTTTGATTTCAATTCAGTACTAGCCAACAACAAAACCTCAAACTTGTTTGAAATTTTCGGAAAAGCTCCATCTGTTAATAAATCTTTAAAAACCATTGGGCAGTAAATCTTCTACTCCTCCGTCTATTCAAGTGGAACCTAGTATGCTAGCCATGTTTCTTCCTAGACTTAGGCTGCCGATAGAGCACCAGTGGCCTCTCACTCTGCAGCTTTGACATCTGGAGACATTTCCACCGTCTTCTCTATTTCTTCTGCAGCAGACTTGTGATTACTACTCGCGGTGGCCCTACGGACGATAGTCTCAGGTAATGCTTTCCAACATTTCACTTATATCCCCAGCTTCTGTCAGCTCTGGTTCCGCTGCCACAAGAATACGATACCCGATTGATTTATTTTCTCCACTGTTTCCAATTAAGGCCATGGCATCATTTTACTGACTCGGTTCTTAGGTCATTTACTATTTCCAGACTAGCGAACGGTAACATTGCCACAAGTAACATGTGCATGAACAAAATTGACCGCTTCATGGTTGGCCTAATATTATTAAGAACATTACCACAAGTAACAATGCAACTGTTGATCATAGGTATACCCTCTTCGCATCAGATAAATCTCTCGGGCCTGATAATTCACTTTGGGTTATCCGAAATTCAATCATCTTTTCTGCAATATCCTCATGCAGACATGCAGTACAGCTCTTCCCCCAAAAGTAAATGAGCCAAGCTGTACATATCATTTCAGCAACGAAAAAAAATATTTGTCAGCTGACATAAGATATGTCTTCCATCTTTTTTCTTAACACAAAAAATAGAGACATCATAACAAAACGGGAAAGGATATGAAGGCTTTGTATATTCAAGAGGAAAGGCTTTTCTGCTCAAAATAAAAAAATAAAAAAAATAAAAAAAAAGATGTCCTCCTCTTCTGTAAGTTCTGCAGGAAATAGTAAATCGTTCTAGGTTTACGTTCGCTCAGTTACGCAAAAACAGTATCTTCAACCTTAATACAATAGTAGTGAAAAAGTTGGATGAACAAAACGGGATACGATTCAAAATTACAAATTGGGAACAAACCTCTAGAGAAGCCAAATCCATCAAACCAATTTCAACTGAAACTTTACTCTCAATGTATCCGTCCCTGATGCGGGTGGGTAATTCCCGAAGTAGCCTACCTTTCTCTAGATCGACACAACAAAATTAAGCTTTATGATTGCAAGAAATGAAAATTAAAATCAGATATAGAGATAGACACACAACTTTCATTGGTATAACTGTAAACAAAACTAGCTAACCAATATCACAAGGATCCTCTTCACCTGCTTTGTCTTTTTTCTCTATGCTACGGTCCATTGTGTTTTCTTCCTTTTCTTTTCTATGATCCTCCTTAGCCCTTTTCCGCAACAGAAAAGAAAATACCTTTCCCAAATTGAGGAGGTAAGGAAGACCACTGAGCATGCATCGATGCTGCCATATGTGGAAATAAGCCTAAGCAACACAAAAAGGATAAAGCTAAGTGTGAAAATCAATGCATTGAATAACTCTGATGTTTTTATAAATTCACATAAAATAAAAACAATGAAAAATGGCGTTCAGCCATTCGTTACTTCTACACACTGTTTATTTTTAGGGATGTGATATCTACATATCATTTTTTACTTTTTCCATACCTTTTTTATTTTTAGTCATCGGATCAAATGAATTGAAGAAAATTAACAGACAAAAATTAACAAAGGGTGTGTGGATAGCACACCCCTATTTTTATCGTTCAGTTCTCCTCTCGGTAATCTCATTTGTTTTATCTTAATATAACTATAAAAAAAATGTCCGAAAATCACTTTTGAAAGAAATACATACTCATTCTTCTATACTCATAAACATCAAACGGTCTCGGCCCCAGGACATTAAATGGTCTCGGCCCCAGTCTAACTTTCTGAAAATCAAATCTTGACGGGGCTTGGCCAACAGGATATTCCGAATCTTATTGGTGAGGATTCTGATAATCTGTTCGTCATACATTGTGTGGTCAGTTTTGGTCAAGTATTGTTTATATTTATTTTTAAATAAAAATATTTAAAATGATTTCTGACCATACGATGTACGATGAATGGACACGATTTACGAATTTCCAAAATCTTCCCAAAGAGAATCCGATAAGGATCCGAACTCGAGGCTTGGAACAAATCTATTAAGCTTTGTTTGTGTGTGGGTTGGCATGATTATTCGCAATTTTGTTTCTGCGGCAGCAAGAAAGGTACACCATATTTCTTCTCTGTTACATGTGGAGGCAGTGGCTGCTCACGAGGCTTTGCTTCTGGCGTCACAAAGGGGTATTCAAAATTTTATTTTTGAGAGTGATTCACTCCAAATTGTGACGGCTCTCCAGAATTCTTCTAATGATTGGTCTGAGATTGGGCTGATCATTTAGGGACGGGTCGTTACAATAATGTACTCTCTTCTCCTAATACTATCGTTAATCATGTGGTAAACTATTATCGGTCTTTATATAATTCTTCGTTCACACCAAATGGAATTGAGGATGTTTGTGGTGTAATTCCACCTATGGTTAGTGAAAAGGAAAATCTTTCTCTTTCTTGTTTACCTTCAGCTGATGAAATTAGAAATGTTGTTTTTTCTATGGATCCCTCGAGTGCTCTGGGACCTGACGGCTTTCCCAGTTCATTTTATCAGTCATGTTAGGATATTATTGGTGTGGATGTTATCTCTTTTGTATAAGATTTTTTTAAGCGTAGATGGCTTTATCCGAATGCTAATTGCAACTTTGTGGTGCTTATCCCTAAAGTAGAAGGAGCAGCCATTATTGCTCAGTATTGGCCCATTGCTCTTGCTAACTTTTTGTTCAAAATTATTCCTAACATTCTTGCTAATCAGCTTGGCCCTATTGCAACTCGCATTATTTCTCCTTAAGAAACGACATTTTTGAAAGGTAGACGTATTTCTGATTGCATTGGCCTGGTTCCAAAAGGTTTCAATTTTATGGATAAAAAGGCTTTTGGTGGTAACGGGGGCATAAAAGTCGACATCGCTAAAGCTTTTGATACTTTGAATTGGAATTTTCTTCTTCTCATGCTTTCTAGCTTTGGGTTTTCTCGTATTTTTGTGGATTGGGTGCATGCTTTATTATAATCAGCTCGTCTTTCAATTTTGGTAAATGGCACGCCACATGGGTTTTTCTCTTGCTCACAAGGTGTCCATCAAGGAGACCCTCTTTCTCCACTTCTTTTCTATCTAGCGAAGGAAGCTCTGAGCGGAGGTTTATCTTTGCTTTTCTCTACTGGAAAGATTACTGCTATTTCAGCTTCACGAGGTTGTTGACCTCCAATTCATGTGTTATATGCTAATGATCTTATTATTTTTTGTTGTGGGAATGTTCGATCTTTTCGTGTGCATCGAGACAACTTGTTAATGCAACTAAGAGTACTTTTTATCTCAGTTCCACCTCTTCCCATCGTAAAGTGCATATCTCGAGACATCTTAACTTTCGTATAGGTGTTATTCCTTTCACTTATCTTGGGGTTCCCATTCCCAGTAAGCCAAGATGAATTCACTTTCAAGCTTTGGTAAATAAGGCTAAAGCTCGCGTCTCAAGTTGGAAAGGTAAACTTCTCTCAATGGTTGGACGGCTCCAATTGGTGCAATTTGTTTATCAAAACTTGTTTCTTCATAGCTTCTCAATTTATCAATGGCCAGCTTGCCCTTTAAAGCGTCTTTCTGCTTATGCATGAAATTTTATTTGGTCAGGGGACTTGGCTTCCCGAAAGTTAGTAATTGTTGATTGGAGTATGGTGTGTGGACCTAAGCATGAAGGTGGTCTTAGTCTTCTTGATTTTGCTGCTTTCGCGCGAGTTCTTAACGACTTTACTTAGTTTTGGCTGGGATGTTTTACAATCTTTTTCTTTGTGGGGTTCTTTCGCTCTTCAGCGTTTTCCTCTTGCGCCCTACAAAAATCAAGATTTCTATTTATAGTCTTATGTGTGGCATTGTTTGAAGCGGGCTTTGCCTATTCTGAATAATAATAGTCGTTGGATTATTGGTGATGGAAGATCAGTATCTTTTTTGTTCGACAAATGGTTGGGAAATCCAATTATTAACCCTTCATTATCTTCGGTCATTTTACCTACAATTCCTCCTCGGGTTTCAAATGCTATTGAAGATCAAAGATGTTCTTTGCTAGATTATTTTGTAGATTTGTTCCCTTATGTAGTACAAATTCGTCATTTACCTTTGCCTTAAATGTAAAGAATGACAAACTGATATGGGAGCCTTTGTCGATTGGGAAATTTTCCTTTTCTTCTGGTTATCATCTTATTCGGAAAAAACATAGCAATTGTGCTTGTGCCAAGGTTATTTGGCGACATTTTATTCTGCCTTGACTGTCTATTTTGGCTTGACGGCTTTTTCATGGCAAACTTCCTACCGAAGGTGCACTGCAACAACGTGGTATTTATCTGGTATCCAATTGTTGTTTATGTCATAGTTATGAGGAATCAACTTTTCATCTTTTCTTCGGGTGCCAAATATCTAGGCAGCTTTAGAGGTGGTTAGCATGTCAATTTGGTATCTCTTTGTCATTTTCAGATTCCTTGGTTGTTTTTTGGGATGCCTATGTACGTAAGCCCTTTTCCCATCAGTTGCACAATCTCTGGATGCGAGTCTTTCTACTATTTCAGCTATTTGGAAAGCTTGAAATAAGTTTATTTTTTAGGGTCACCCAATCTATTTCCATCGTCTTTACTTGTCTATCAATTATGGGATTGTTCATTGTGGGAAGTTTATTCTTGGTTATTCTCAGGGTTTTGAAGCTTGTATCATTTTCTTCTCTGGGGATCCAACTTATCCCTCGCAGGGCGCCAACTATTCTTCCTATGCTTTGGTCTTCTCCTTGGTTTCTTGGGATTAAACTTAATACAGATGGTTTGTCTAAAGGAAATCCTGGTCTTGATGCTTATGGATGAGTTTTTTGGGATTGATATGGTCGGTTTCTTGGTGGTTTCTGCCAAGGGATTGGTCCTCGCAACTCTATTTTTGCATAATTATTATTAGTCATTATTGTTGTAGAGTTTGCATATCAATGGGGTTGGCATTGTCTTTTGCTAGAAAGTGGCTCTTGTAGTGTTATTTCTGCCCTCCAATTGACTGATTTTGATCATCCTTGGCCTCTTCGTACACAATGGTCTATTTGTTTGGATTGTATTCGGAAGATGATTTTCTACGCCTCTCACATATATTGCGAAGGAAATGTAGTTGCGGACAATTTTGCTAATATGAGCTTGCCTTCTCCAACTTTGATATAGCATGATTCCCCTTTGAATGGCAATTCATGCTACTTTGTTTGCAGACTATGTTGGCTTTCCTGCCTTTGGCTTCTCAAATTAATATACATCTTGGCATACAAGTTTGTCTCACTTTCTTGTTTTTTTTTTTCTTAACCTTGTGATGTTGCTTGTTCTGTTTTGCAGGTTTAGACCATTAGGTTCGGCTTTAAGAGGGGTTAGGTTTCATGCCCCCCCCCCCCTCTTTTCCTTGTATCTTTTGTGTTTTTGTTTCTAGAAGGGTAAGGTTTATGTCCCCCCCCTTCTTTTCATGTATTTTTTAATCCTTTTTTCTTGTATTATGAGGGGTAAAGTTTATGCCTCACTTGACTAGGTGTACCCTTTTTTTTTCGACATCAATAAAATTACCCTTATACCATTGATTTTTTTAAAAGCTCTTTGGAACCGGCAAACATCCACACCATACAAGTGTAGTTCTAGCTCATATGCATATGCAATCTCTAAATAGTTGTGCTTATATGTAAGACAAGATTATCACTCCACACAAACAAACACAATTATATCTATGGAATAATGGTAGCTCAGCATCAAACTATAAATAATCAATGATAAATTACGTTTAGAGATTCAAGAACACAAATATGAAAATTGCATCAAGTTCACATTGAAATTGAGAAGCTAAATCAAGTGTTTAATCCTAACCTTAGGATGAAAGGTTTAGCTAGACATGAAAATAAAATACAAAGGAAAATTGTTCAACAACATAAGCAAAACACTATGTAATACAAGCATAGGCGTGAGATGATGATGTATAGGACACGGCAAAAAGTGATGTTGTGAAGATGGAGATATGCTTGAAACTTGATGAAGAACTAATGTCTTGAACATGAATGAAATAAAGGGCAGCCTTTTGCAAGATTATGGAATCACAGCAGTCCCCCTTTCTCCTGCAAGTCACGCAGCTTTCCCCACCTCTGGAATTGCAGCAGCCTCTCTCTTTTTGTTACAAAGCAGCCACCCGAAAATTAAGGTTATATCCCTCTCTCTTTCTTGCTTTATTTGGACGCCAAAACACTTAAGTAAACCCAGTTAAAATAAGTAAATATCTTTTGAGCCCACATGATTAGCATCGACTCGTAACTCGAAAGCATTGCCGTCGTACAAGTAAGTCATATCTTATACCTTAGTATCAGCACAAACCGGCGTAAAATTTCTGAC